CAGACTTTCTCTAAGCCCGCTTTAAAATGATTTACTGAACTCTGATTTACCACATTACTAGGAAGGGAGTTCCAATCGTCAGTAACTCGAACAACGAATGCCTTTTTCCTAACATTAAGTTTAAATTTATGTTTATACAACTTATATACGTGGCCTCTGGTTATAGAATAATCTAATCTTGTAAACAAGCGCTCAGGGTCCAAAAGATCAATACCTTGAAAAATCTTAAAGGTCTGAATGACATCTGCTCGGTTTTTTTTTTCTAAATAACAAAGTTGGCAAATTAAGAGCCTTAAGTCTCTCCACATAAGCTTTGTCTCTCAGACTTCTAATCAATCTGGTGGAGCGTTGTTGCACCTTCTCTAATAAATCAGAATCTTTTTTATATTTAGAATTCCAGACACAACTACCATACTCTATCACAGGACGAATCATTGACTTATAAGAGACGCAAAAAACCATTACCATCAAGAAATTTAAATGTTCTTTTGATCAGACCCAATCTTCTATTTGCACTCTTGCAACCTTTACAGAATGTTTAGAAAAATCCAACTTATCATCAAATAGAATACCAAGATCTGATTCCCCCTTAACACGTACAATTTCACATCTTGATGTACCAGTACCAATAAAATATTTGAAATTAAAATTTTTAAATCCATAATGCATGATCTTGCATTTTGTTAAGTTAAATGGCAATTGCCAGTCTATCGACAACTGGTATAAAGCATTTACATCCCCCTGTAAAATTATGATTCTTGACTTGATATTGAGAGCTCGCAGGTTCGAATCCCGTCAGAGGGATTTTATTAAATTATTTATTTTTTTATTTATAGGACTACATTCCTATAAATAAAAAAAATAAATAATTTAATAAAATCCCTATGCTACACGAAGTATTATTATGTCCTTTATTCGAACACTATATTGACTTCTTTGATGATTTATTATATATATATATATATATATATATATATATATATATTTGCTTAATTAGGATTTATATTCCAAACGAGGCCTCAATGGTCCATTTGATAAGGTCTGCATAGACAGCAGATATACCCAGGTTCGAATACTATATGCCGCGTGCACTGCGCACAAAATATAAATATAATCAAATAGGTAAATGATAGAACAGTACTAGTATAAGGAACAATTACAACAATAGCACTGTTTTTTGAGCAATGCCTATTTGACCTATACATATATATTTCTGAACATATTTATTTTATACGTAATGTAAATATATTATTAATGAATATAAATACATTACAGTGTTAAAGGCTCCTCTGGATTATCAACTACTGTCATCACAACCGGTAATGAAATAAGTACATGTGTAAGTGTGAATGTCGGTGAAACCGTCAGTGTTTCAGCAATGTGCTCAAATGGTGATATTGCGAATACGACAGTAATACCTACTACAGTAGGTACTTGCTCTGAAAGCGGTTGCGTTGAGGTGCTATTTGTAATTGGATGCATACAGTCTAGTACAGATAGTGCAACAACAGTGCCAGACATACCACCACTTGGAACAACACCTCCTGAAGAATCTAACGCTATAACAACAGATTCAGTGATCTCAACTAGACCAGCAGAATTGTCTTGTATTGATATCATAGCTTGTAGTGACGATCAGTGCAACCAATATATCTCACAAGTTTTCAGGTAATTATTCCGTATTAATGCTTATTTTGGATTTGAATTCCAAACGAGGCATCAATGGCCCATTTTGCTTAAGGCGTCCGCATAGTGCAGAAGGTCCCATGTTCGAATAGCATATGCTGCGTAGCAATGCGCTCAAAATATAAATATAAATACAGGTATGTGTGTAAATAATAGAACAGTATTTATTTACTGAACCAATTACAATAATAGCACTGTATGTTGCACAATATTTGTTCTATTGATATATATTTCTGAACATATTTATTTCATACAAAATAAAACAAAAGTGACTCCAAATAGAGAAAGTGAGGCCATTTTACTCAACGTTTCGACTTTTTTAAGTCATCATCAGGAATAAGAATATTTACAGAGTACCAAAAAATGTTACAATATGCAAATAAAATTAATGAGCCGTAAGATGATAATAAGCAACAAATGTGATTGGTCCAGAGGTAAAGGGTGTAGTCATAATTAAATAAACAGTTTTAATTCTCTAGAAGCTCTGAGACCACAATTAAGTGAAGGCTTATATGCCGGTGAATAGCAAGCGCTTCTTTAAATAAAAAGTGGGACCAATTAGAAGAATTATCAATTATTTTAGTATTAGAATAAATTAAAGATTTAAAGTTGGTCATAGAGATGTCATCAAGTGTGTTAGGTAAATTATGGAGTCCTAATATGTAATTAAAATTATCACAGGTTTGAACATGATTATGAACTACACTGTTAGATAAAGTAGCATGTTCATGGATTCTGGTAATAAAACATCTATCAGTTTTACCAATCTAGTCAAGGTTACATCCAGGACATTTAAAATGGTATACTACAGATGTAGTAGTGGTAGTCACTTTTGTTTTATTTTATTTGAACATAGTCAGTGCACCTTCTGGTTTATTTCATACGTAATGTAAATATATTATTAATGAATATAAATACATTGCAGTGTTGAAGGCTCCTCTGGATTATCAACTACTGTCATCACAACCGGTAATGAAATGAGTACATGTGTAAGTGTGTATGTCGGTGAAACCGTCAATGTTTCAGCAATGTGCTCAAATGGTGATGTTGCGAATACGACAGTAATACCTACTACGGTAGGTACTTGCTCTGAAAGCGATTGCGTTGAGTTGCTATTTGTAATTGGATGCATACCGTCTAGTACAGAAAGTGCAACAACGTTGCCAGACATACAACTTGGAACAACACCTTCTGAAGTACCTAACGCTATAACAACAGATTCAGTGATCTCAACTAGACTGACAACCGCAACATGTGAGCACCTAAATCATTAATACAACTATAAGCCTTGACTGATATCTGTAAGAAAGACTGTATACTGTATAATGTGTAAATTATCTCTTATTATATACAATTATTGTAATAAAAATTATATTTGTTATATATTTTTGTTTGTATAATCATTCATCCATGTAATTGATTATTGTTTTAGCAACAACCCGAGAAATTCAAGATGAAACAACATTTCCTCATGTATCTAGCACTGTAACAACTGATTCAGTGTTCTCAACTAGACCAGCAGAATTGTCTTGTATTGATATCATAGCTTGTAGTGACGATCGCTGCAACCAATATATTTCCCAAGTTTTCAGGTAATTATTCCGTATTAATGCTTATTTTGGATTTGGATTCCAAACGAGGAATCAATGGCCCATTTTGGTTAAGGCGTCTGCATATTGTAGATCCCATGTTTGCAATAGCATATGCTGCGTAGCACTGCGCTCAAAATATAAATATAAACATGTGTGTAAATAATACAACAGTACTTATTTACAGAACCAATTACAATAATAGCACTGTATGTTGCAAAATCAATATCTGTTCTATTGATATAAAACGAGGCATCAATGGCCCATTCTGGTTAAGGCGTCTGCATATTGCAGAAGGTCTCGTGTTCGAATAGCATATGCTGCGTAGCACTGCGCTTAAATTATACATATAAACATGTGGGTAAATATTATACAGTATTTATTTACAGAACCAATTACACTAATAGCACTGTATGTTGCACAATCAATATTTCTTGTATTGATATATATTTCTGAACATATTTATTTCATACGTAATATAAATATATTATTAATGAATATAAATACATTGCAGTGTTGAAGGCTCCTCTGGATTATCAACTACTGTCATCACAACCGGTAATGAAACAAGTACATGTGTAAGTGTGTATGTCGGTGAAACCGTCAATGTTTCAGCAATGTGCTCAAATGGTGATGTTGCGAATACGACAGTAATACCTACTACAGTAAGTACTTGCTCTGAAAGCGATTGCGTTGAGTTGCTATTTGTAATTGGATGCATACAATCTAGTACAGAAAGTGCAACAACAGTGCCAGACATACCACTTGGAACAACACCTCCTGAAGAACCTAACGCTATAACAACAGATTCAGTGATCTCAACTGGACCGACAACCGCAACATGTGAGCACCTATTCATTAATTAGTAAAGTCATATTCATTCATTTGTTGTCATGTTTTTAAGAAAGGCTGATTGATGTCTCTTTCGTGCGACCATGAGATTGTTGTGTAATAATTATATTATATTATTTTTTTTATTACCATAAACCTATTTTATAATGTATGTAATATAGGACTGATGTTTTGCCCTAACTGAATACTCTGTATGTTCCTAAATACTTGCGGAAAATATGCTAGTGTCATACCAGACTACCGAGCTTGCGCTTAGTGACTAGTGTTCAATCCCATCCCAAAGTAGCAACGGGTACTGCAAATGCTATTTCGATGCGAGTTTGCATCAGGAAATATCATAGGAGTGACATTTGCCATACCTGACATGTTATCGTTCTGAATACTCAGTATGTTCCCAAATACTTTTATTGTTCTTCGATTTAATTATCCGTCGTATATTGTGCTGTGTTTGTTATTACTGTCACCCTATGCGATTAATTCAAATGAGAAACAAAGTATTCCAAGTGTATATTCATTACTTTATTTTTCTCCAATATTTGTATTATTGCACTTTTTCTGCTTATATATAGTACAACTGATGTTTGAGACATGCCCATTGGATTTTGTACGCGCCAGTGGAACGGGGTTAAATTATGCAATTATACAATGGAATGAACCTCTTGTTAGCGGCGGTGGTGGAATGGTTGATGTGAGAAAAACGCATGATTCTGGAGCACAGTTTTCTATCGGCACACATCAAGTTAACTATACTGCAAACGATGAATTTGGACAACAGGCATACTGCACATTTCAAGTACAAATTAATGGTATGAAATTATATTATGTTATTTGTAATGGTATTTAAATACAGAAGAGCATGGTAAGGAAGTCTAAATCATCTTTTTCATGTACTGTTCGAAATGCTTTTCAGACAATGAAGCACCAAGAATAACATGTCCTGATGATATATCAAAGAAGCTAGAAATTGGCAGTGACAGCGTTTCTGTTAATTGGACTGATGCATCGGCTTCTGACAATGCTGGTAGTGTACGTGTTACACCATTCATTAGTAATACACATTCGTCAGGTGATCTATTTCAGGAAGGTTCGTATACATTGATGTATACAGCAACTGATGATGCTATGCTGACTACTGTTTGTTCTTTTACTATTCTTATCAGCGGTAAGCTTTCGTTCCAAAGGGCTGTTTAGCTCACATTATTTTAAGTGTAATGTTGACGAATCTATTTTCCAAGAACGATAAAAGTGTAAAAAAAATATAAATAATCAATGAAAAAATATAAATATAAGAAAAAAAAAAGAAAATGTGCAATTCGATTAATCTTTTTTAAAGCTTTAAGCTATTTACGTTTTAGATAAAACGTTCTTTTATTTAATAAAAAGCAGTTAATAATATAATACTTGTTATATTGCTTTTTACCAAAACACCTCACAACACACACGTTACATTAGGCCAAACAAAATAACACTTTGTGTAGCTCAAAGACAATGACAATCCGCAGTGAAGGTCATTTGGTCATGATATTTTCTTCTAGCACATGACTCATGGTAGTGTTAGACTGGTAAATACATTGAGGCTATGTTCTCACACGACAGCTAACGGTTAGCATGATCCGGATCCTGCTAACCGTTAGCTGCCGTGCGTCCATGCGAGAAAATCCCGATCCGGATACCAACAATATGATGATCGAATCACTGGCCAATAAGAAACTGGAAATTGTAAACACGTACGTGTGATTAGTTGATGATAGAAACGCCCTCAACTTGCTAACCGATAGCGCTTGCTAACCGTTAGCGATCCGGATACCGCTAACGATTAGCGCTAACCGATCGGGCGTTCTCACGCAGGTGCTAACGGTTAGCGCTAACGCTTAGCTCCCGATCCGAATACTAGGGCTCTCATGAGAACCAGGCTACTACTGAGGTGAATTAGTTGTTGGAAACTTCCCCTTTCAAACACCGTACACTAATTTTTAGGCTTCTCCTTTGCAAAAATAAATACGATCCCAGATTTGTTAGATTTTGGGCCGTTTGTGCTTGAAAAAATCTTACTGATTTGGCTTTATAGGCGGTCATTGGATATATATGGTAAACACAATGTACAACATCCTTGACTTTTGGTGATTATTTTTAGTATAGACCTAGCAGATCAGATACCATTCCAAATAGCCGGCCTGCCCATATAATTCCAGGTGGATAGAGACAAACATAGATTGAATTCCTTATCACAACACGCAAATGAAAAGTCCGTCACCACTGCATTCAAACGTCATTTTTATAATAGAGAACCCAAATCACGATAGCCTCTGGCTATGTTCTCACACGGCAGCTAACGGTTAGCAGGATTCGGATCCTGCTAACCGTTAGCTGCCGTGCGTCCATGCGAGAAAATCCCGATCCGGATACCAACAATATGATGATCGAATCACTGGCCAATAAGAAACTGGAAATTGTAAACGCGTACGTGTGATTGGTTGATGATAGAAACGCCCTCAAACTTGCTAACCGATAGCGCTTGCTAACCGTTAGCGTATCCGGATACCGCTAACGGTTAGCGCTAACCGATCGGGCGTTCTCACGCAGGTGCTAACGGTTAGCGCTAACGGTTAGCTCCCGATCCGGATACTAGGGCTCTCGTGAGAACCAGGCTTCTATTATTGGAATATTCCGGGGTTTTTTTTTCTTTTAGGGTCTGAATGCAACCCTGGTTATCGTGAATGCCCACAGAAGTGCGTACCAGATTCTTATTTTTGTGATTATATCCCAGATTGCTTAGATGCTTTTGACGAATCAGAAGACAACTGTGGTGAGTAGATAGCATGTCTTAATTGTTTAAATATAATATATATGAATAGTGCTGTATATGTTTGAAATCACTACCGGTATATGTTTGAAACTGTATTTTACAGTATAATAAGTGAAATGAATAGCATATAATCTATTGAATGAATAATGTTTTTTAATAGTCAATGTATTTTGAAATTTTATTTACAAAAGTATTTTGCACTTTTAAGTCAGGTATACTTAAAATTAAAATAACAAAAGGGTGTGCTCGCTTTACTCGCTTACCCTAGTATGTGGATGTCACGATTAGTTTCGATAAAAAGAACAATATGACCAATAAAATAAGATAGATTAATGTTGCATGTTATCTCGTTTAGTTATTTCTTAACGTAATGTCATGAGGTATACGTACAGTTATGTCGTTCAGTTATTTCTTTACGTAATGTCAGAAATGCTGTTGTAAGATCATGTGTTATGATTTACAAAGCATGCTTCATGGACTTCATTCATTCATCCAATCTTTATTGGTCTAATATATTTAAAAAAATACACTAGAAAATGTTTGTATATTCATTGCAAGTATATAAAATTCAATATATACAATTCAAATATAAGGGTTAAATAAGGTATATACTGAAAATTTAATTGATTTTAAATTTTATGTGATCCAGGTGTTTTCTCCATGGGTACAAAAATAAGCATGCTTCATGGACTCCATTCATTCATTCAATCTTTATTGGTCCAATATATTAAAAAATACATTAGAAAATATTTGTATATTCATTGCAAGTATATAAAATTCAATATACAATTCAAATATAAGGGTTAAATAAGGTAATATACTGACAATTTAATTGATAATTTTTTTTTTTAAATTTATGTGATCCAGGTGTTCTCTCCATGGGTACAAAAATATCTTTTAACATATTCATTTGTTATAACATATACTATTTTGAAACCATAAGATATAAAAGCAGCAGAATGTTAATTGGTATGGGGATCTTGTATTTCTCTCCATCATTTTTCGTTTTGTTCGCACATGTGGTTTGAAAATCTACTAGACCGGGTCCAGTGAAAAACGACAGTAAAAGTACTGTAATTATTTTTCCCTCAATTAATCTTAATTTTTGAAATAATATTCACTTCGTGAGATGGAGACCTATGTTGTTACAGTTTTTAGACCAGTAGTTTTGAATCCCAGACGTTTATTGATGCTTTGTCTTGTGTCTGTTTTGCCTTGTGTCTGTAAGCGCA